TTTTTTTTTTGCTAAGGTTGAAGTTGAAGGTCCTTTATATGTATACTGGCGGATTCTACATTTACTCAATATTTGCTCTGATATTTTGGGAAACAAAGCGTTCTGATTTTGGGGTTTCTATGGGTCATCATGTCGCAACTTCTATTCTCATCGTGCTATCTTACATATTAAGGTACGATTTCATACTATGAACATCAACTTTGATTGGCTAATAGGAGCTCATTACAGCTTTATGGTGGATGACTGCTGAAAATTTAATCATTCGAATTGTAATATTAGGGCAAGCATTTTGGCAAATGCTATTTTATCACTTCTTGGTCTTAAAGACTATTATAATTTTCCATCAGGTTCAGCTCAATTTAAAAAATAAAAAATAAATAAATAAAAGAGAGAGAGAGAGAGTGAGAGATAAAATCCAGTTATCTTCCAAAATGACACATACCAACTGATTGTTGCCCCTCTTTAACAAACATCGTCATCAAGAACTCATTAGTATGATAAACACAAACAAACTCTTTAACATTTATTTTGTTGTTTAAATTTGTAATTACAGTTGCCCCTTAATTTACAATGTACTAAGCCTCGGGGAATTCTATCGTTTTGAAAATTACTGGAGTTAGTTGTGCTTATGCTAAACCTCAGTGATGGTATTTGTGATTATCATAAGTTTAGTAATATTATTATAGCCACATAGCAGTTTGTCCAATTACTTAGTATTCTTTTCTTTAATTTTGTTCCCTTTTTTCCAGATTTGCACGTGTTGGTTCGATTGTTTTAGCTCTTCATGATGCCACCGACCCATTTCTGGAAGTTGGCAAGATTTCCAAATACAGAGGTGCCGAAGCATTAGCCAGCTGTTCGTTTGTCCTTTTTGTCCTTCTTTGGGTCTTGCTACGTCTCATTTACTACCCATTCTGGATTCTATGGAGCACAAGGTCTTGTTGCTCTATTATTGCTTCTTCTGCATACCCATATTTTAAATTTTCTCTCTCCATAAGCGATCGGATGACTTGACAAATAACAACACACTTTAGTATGCAATGTGCAAAATAATTTTTTTTTTTTAAAAAAATGTTATACATACTGTCTTTGATATATTTTGTCGTCCTTTTAGCAGTTACGAAATCATCCTGTTTTTGGACAAGGAGAAACACAAAGTTGATGGACCAATCTATTACTACATTTTCAACACACTCCTTTTCTCGTTGCTCGTCCTCCATATCTACTGGTTCGTGTTGATGTTCCGAATGTTGGTTGATCAAATCAAGGCGGGTGGTCGAGTGAGTGAGGACGTTAGATCCGGTAAGTCGACATTGAAAACATGTCGATTGCATTATTCCATTTGAAAGCAATAAAAATATGAAATTTAGATATGCAGATATTATGTTTAAGAAACATAAAATTAATGGACTGGTTTGTTGTATCATTTCAAATTTTACTGTTTTTCCTGTGTTTTTTTT